CACACAAATCTATAGACAGATAGGTCTATATATATGTAGATTGGTTAGCAAATCCAATTTATGCATACCATCAACAACACAAATACACATGAGACGCACACTCATGTAGGAAATATTTTTTTGATTGATTGGAGCGGGCCTAGTGAATCCCAGTTGAACGCGCCCTGATCGCATGCTGTGCGAAATAAGCATGCCATATAGGAGTAAGAAATTTATAGGTGTGCTTACGCAGTACTACATATAATATATATAATATGTATGTATGTACAGTTGGAGGCACCGGCAGCCGCAGCGTTTACAAGTTGTTAACAATTCGTTTTGCGCTCGCAAGTAATGTTTCGTAGAATTAATTAGAAATTTTTCACCAACATTAAGTAGGCAATAATACAAGGGCGCTGGCTTCAACGCACGCGTGCGTGTGCGTGTTTGTGTGTATGTGCTCTTGTACTGGCACTCACGTAAGTATGTTATTATGCGATGCGCCGTAATCATAGTGGTAGTTAGGCAATTAATTACTTATTTACAGCAGCGAAATTTTGTTCGGCCGAGTTGATAGCATGAGTTGCTGAAAAGCACAAGGTAGCATATGCATACATACACATCTAGATGTAAATATGTATATAAAGTGTTTGCCACACTTTTCGATTGCTGCTGGAAAGTAAGGTGAGTAAGGAAAAATTTTCTTTTAACTTTTATGGTGCCTTTTAATAAAATAAAAAAATTATTTTTAACCGCTTTTAACACAAAAAATTCATTGAGAGCATTTTAAGCGTTTTGGTTTTGTAAACTTATTTTTAGCTTTGCACACACACACAACTACGCGTTGCTGATAATGCTTTTTAATTGCTCAACTCCAGTTTGTTTGCAATTATTTCAGCTTCCTCCAGCATACTAATAATTGTATAATAGAAAGTTTCAAAACAGCTTCCTAGAATCTAATTTTTTCCACAGCGCTCAACTTTCTCCACATTAACCGTTGCGTGGCTCAATCAGGCGCAGCTGGAGTGGCCATAACCGCAGCTGGCGTATTATTTTCAATTAAACTTTTGTGCTCCACATAGCTTAGGCATTTATGTAGTTATTGGACGGTTACCCACATTATGGCCGACAGCATAGCCTTGCTCATTATTAGTGCGTACATATTTCTGTATGTACAAGTATGTGTGTGTCAGCAGCGTTGCATGCTGGTTTATTCTAAACGTGGTCATTCCCACAAATGCCTACAGTTTTAGGTGTGTACGTGTGTGCGTGCGCATGCAGGCATGCCAAATTGGACTTTGGTAACTTCATTTGCCGTTCAGCTGCGGCCATTGACGCAGTATCTGCAATTCTTAAACCGCATCTTCTCGCCTTAAACACGCCGTTTCGGCACGCAGTAGGGCGCTCTTCGCATTGGTTTTTAAACTAATTGTGTGTTTTTCAAACTATACAGAATGTGCTGGTCCGCAACTTAGTGCGCATATAGCTGTATTGTGTTCGAAAATGCATTTTCGAGTTGAAAAACAAAAATCGAAAAGCTTTTAACAATTTAAAAAATGCTATATTTACATTTTAAACAATCAGCAATAATATTTCGTTTGCAATACGGTCAATTTCACATTATTTCAGCTCGATATGCGAAATGCTCGCCAAAACCAGCGCGTTCGATTGCACTGTGAATCACGCGTGTACAATCAAATCAGTGCAAATCTCCCTGCTGCCGCTTTAATTGCGCATATTAATGAATCAACGCACCGTTTTCACTCAACAAATACAACAAATTGTTAATTTATTTATGGCTAACATAATGCCAAACGATTTCAACGCACTACATTTGTTCAATATTTATTTATTTTCATTTCGTTTAAATTTTTTGTAGCTTAAATTTATTTCCATATATTTTTTTTGCACCGTTACACCTACCATATTTTCGCATAAATAAAACAGAGAGAATGCCGTAATGCAAATATTATGCAAATTCACCCTGCCCACCTTAATCTAATGGGGTCACGTGTTGCAATTGTTGCGTTTCCATTATTATTAAGTGTATATGTGTGTATGTGCGTGTGTGGGTGTGCGTTTGCACAAAATTTGCTAAATTAATTTTTTTATTGTTTCGCATAATTAATTTGCATTTTATTGCTGCGCCATTTATTTTGCACATACAGTTATATTTAAAATATGTTATATATGTACATACGTGTATGTATGTGTGAGTGTGTGCAATTCTCTGATTTTTCACCATTATTTGTTTTAGCTGTAATCAAGTGTCGTGTTTGAACATCAGTGCAAATATTTAAATTTATGTTTGCTTACATATGTATTCTTCACTACATATGCATATATGTACATAATTAGTTTTAATTTATTTTTTATTTTTTTTTAATTGCACTTTTTTGCAACTCTAAATGCGCCATTCGTTAAAGCAAACATTTATACACACACATATATTTGGTTATAAAGCTAATATTTGCCATTTTTCTATAAATAATTCTGTAATGCTTTTGCGATTTTTTACTTATATAATTTTGGCATTTAAATAAATATTTATTGCGCATTCGATTGATGCATTAGCTACTGTATTAATGAATATTCATTAAATACACTGCTTAGTTTTAATTAGATTTTAATATGCTATTTGTGGCATGATGCTATTTATGTATGAGTTTTTAAAATAAAATTTACGTAGTTGGCTTTGTTTATATGTTTGTGGGTATGTAAATAGCCATTTTCGGTGGTCGCAAAAGCGAAGCAGTGATTTGCTAATTGGTATTAATTTTAAGTGATTTCAGCTGCTCGCATGCAACATTTATTTACTAATGTAACATTTAATTTCTAATCCAACATTTAGATAAAAAAAAGTTGGAAAAATTCGCCTACTTTAGCGGTTTTGCGTGAAAAATTTCCCATATGTATTCACCACCTCGCTGAGGCAGGCTATAGTGCAAAATTTGTTTCGGTATACCAAGCACCATTGCTAATTCGATTTTTTGCACCTCTACATAAGAGCAACTTTCGTACTCAACGCTGTGTTATCTCTCTGTAGTAGACGTCAAATGCGCGTCAACTATTTAGTTTTCGAACATTTTCGAATTTAGCAAGAATTTTCGAATAGCTTCCACTAGCTGATAGAATAACTTTTGCGGATCTCTTATGAGATCTAGGCAATTGTAAATTTTATGCTATAATATTTTAGCATTTTCAACTACTATTTGTAGGTTTTTTTGACTATTTATGTTAGCCACGCATATCAATTTTTAGTTATACTCGATATAATCATTTAATAATATAAACTTTTTTTTTCAAGGTTTGCAACGTTCATTTACAAGTTTATGTACTAACATTCAACAGCTTCCCAACAATTGGAAACAACAATTCTCGCGATACGAGGCTCTAGCTCGTACACGTCACGAAGCGATATTGAAAATTAGTTCATGCCTATAGAGCTCTTTAAAAAGTAACTGTGCTCTTACGCTGCTTTATGCCTATTTTTTGTAAGCGAGTGGCAAAAGAATGCGCAATTCTACTTACATTTCTGATGCTTACTAGATTTCAGCCTTGCCTTGCACGTAGGTTGCATTTTTTTTATATTTCGAGATTTGGCAAGCATAGGGTTGCAATCTTGGCAAGTCACAACTTTATTGTTAAGTTTGACACATTTGATATTAAACATACACTGAGATGTTTGACATTTGAGCACTATTTGTGTTGTTTACAGTTAATTAAAATATTCATCGCGGCAAAATTTAATTAAATCCCAATAATTTTTGCGTAATCTTTCGACATTAATTAACGATATTGCGATATCGTCATGTGACCTATCGTGAAATTGAGACAACTATATGCATTAGTGATACTATATAATATGTCATGAACATTGGACTGTAAAAAAAAATTTGTTCGGTGCCTCGAAACACGTCTATGACATCTTGACAAATGATAAATCGTGGATTTATGCGTATGAGACCAAAAGTAAACAGCAGTCCACTATATGGGTGTTTCAAGATGGGCCGAATCCAACACAAGTTGTTCGCGCACGAAGCTCTCCCAGGCAAATGGTTGCCTGTTTGTATGAAAAAACTGGACATGTTGCAACCATATCACTAGAATAACGCAGAACAGTGAATTCTGAAGACGGATCACTCTTCACCACGACAATACGAGCTCTCACACATCGACAGGAACAACTGCATTTTTATGCACTCAAAACATTAATTTGATAGTCCTGATTGGTACCGAATGACTTCTTTTTATTCCCGTACGTAAAAAAAAACTAAGAGTTCAATGTTTTTCGACACGTGAAGAGGAGGTGCAGAACGCATGTTTTGTAGACACCACAATCAGATTGGCAAAAGTGCTTTGACAATTGTTTAAAACGAATGCAAAAGTGTATAGATCTTAATGGAGAATATTTTCAAAAACAGTAAAGCGATTTTGGATGATTAACATTTGCTTTGCTCTCTAATATCGAAATGGAAAAGGCGACACTCATAATAAAACCTTCGGAGTAGCTTTTCTCAATTTAAATAAAAAAGGCGTTTTGCAATTAATTCAAAAATAAAAACGTTGTAATAAAGACTTTTATATATAATAGTATAATTTTGGCGAAAATTTAAAATTTATATTGAAAATTTTCTCAAGTCTGCTTGAAAGGTGCAGACCAGATATATGAAACTGGTCTGCTAATTTTTCTAATTCCTCGAAACACTATCAACTAATTCATCAATAAATGTATATCACATATTTTCCAGCTGCCACACTAACAAGTGCAACACTTGCATATGTGCAAACCAACATATATACACATATATATTTGTATACAAGTATGTACACCAAAGCGATCCTTCTCTGTTTACAGCAGTTGTAGACTCTCAAGTGAAAATCCGATAATGACTTTATACTCATGTTAAAGATTACAATGCTAGCCTATTAAAGTGTTAACAAATTTATATTACTCCATACATATGCACAATCTAATCTATCTATGTTAAATACATACACATACATAAATATTTACTTACCACACACTGTGCGCCAACAAATGAATCCAATTTTTTTTCTTGTTTTTTGTTCTTGTTTTTGTAGTGGTTTACTGCAAGAAAGAAGAGCAGAACAAAGCGAAGAATAAGAAAATGAATTAACAATGTGAACTGATACTTGAAATATACAAAAGATACCGAAATCCTTAGCTGTCAAATATCAATCATTATTATCCTTATGAGATTTGAACAATCATTATGCGAAGCGCGCAGATATGCGAGTCAAAAAACATCACTACTACACGCACACGTGTTTCTATTTTTATGGGTACATGAATATGAAATATTTTCACATACACACACACACACACTCATGTGTACAAAACCAAACACGCACTCGAATGCATGCGTGCTAAAGCAGATAATATAATGGAACAACGTCATAAAACATGCGACTTCTAAATGTACTTATGATTATTTTTATATGCACGTAAGTGTCTAAATTCTGTAGGGATAAACAACTCCTTGTAAGCGATCAGGTTACCAACTTTGCCTCAGCCTGTGTGTGTGCCGTTTTTATTATTACTTCTCGAATTCATAATGTGCTTGGCCTTTGTGGGCATAAACCATTATAAGTTGGTACTTTCAACACATTCCGCAGATTCTTTTATTTTCATATGCGTTTTCTGAAGTGTTTTTCTATACCATTTGGCGCTTGGCCCGACCGCAGTGTTATCACAACACATGCCTCATGCATAATAGGTATGACCGATGAGGGTGTATCAGTTAGCGCATGGATTTTTTCGCATATCATATTTCGAGTATTAGAAATAGTAATCGAATTGTTGAGTATAAAGAGGCGCGGTTGCTTATTTAACGGTGAATTTGTTACAAATTTGGACATTTTGGGAACTTAGCATTTAATCTCAATTGTAGAAGTAATAACTTATTGTGGATTGTCTAAAAGTTTTTATTTTTGAGACAAGCATGAGAAGTAGAATACTTCTCTTAAAACAGTCTTGAGATCTTGGAGGTTTGTAGCTATTTATCTTTTTAAATATACTTGTATTTTGTTCTAATACAAATAACACAAATGAGATTTTTTTTAATGCTTGAATTGTGTATGCCACATAACCAACGAATATGTTTAAAGATTTTTTAAATATTTGAAACAAAAATCTTTATGTTAGAATATAGTCTAAAAAGATAATCACTTTTAAATACAAAAAACATTTATTGTTGTGATTTTTGTGCTGACGCACGTGTTTATATTGGCTTGTTTTTGTACCTTGCAAATGTCAGTGAATTTATTTTCCTTGCTCGATGCATCTCTAAGATATTTATAATTTTCTCAAGCAACTTTTGAATTCTAAAATCAAATGTAAATTATAACCAACTTTATACCGAAAATGAAAATTGTAACTAGTTACCTTTCGAACTAACTTGTAACTAGTTACCAACTGTATACAAAATTAATAATTACACCTGCGGAGCCATACACGCATTAAAGTCACTGAGTGTCTCGAAAGGAAAGGAAGCGCAAATTATTCATGGCTCTAAATATGTCTGAGCCTTGGCATAAATGCTTTATGTATATTTACCTTTTTTCTTATGCAAAGCCGTCGTTTATGCCACATATTATATTACCGGCTATTTACACAGTTAGTTTATACACATATTTTTATTTCCGATTTTAATATTCATAATAAAAATACAGACACCAACACGCTCACAAAGACATGTGAATCGACGCATTTATAGCCCGAGTTTGCTCCGCAAGCGAAGAATTATCTTAAAATGGCACTTTGCATCTCTTCAAGTGTTATTCTTACTGGTTTTCCTTTGCTTATTTATTTTCTGTTCTGTTTTAATAAAAGACTTTGTTATGCACCGCTTTCGCTTTTATTCTTTATCCAATGCCCGCTGGTTTATTTGCTTTTACAACAAGTGTTTTGTGTCCGAGGAAAACCGACAAGCAAATATCAGTAAAACCTGGATATGCTGGAGAACAAGTGTGTATTTATCCTCTTACAACTCTTATTGTTGTTGTTTGCTTATTTATTTGTTCCTTGACTTTGGATATAATACTTTTTATGAGTTTTTTGTTTGCGTCAAGGTTTGTGTTAATGTTTATATGTTAAAACATTAAATACACAACAAAATGCGATAATAATAAATTTTGTTGTTTGACAGGACTTTGTTGGCGGCAAGAAGTGATAAACGAATTTACATACATTTAAGGCGGTGAGCACGTGTATACGAGCCTATACAGACATATACACAGACTTATCAAATTGTACTGTATAATATTGAGCAATTAAAATCAAAATTTAGTCGTAATACAGCATAATTTTAATGCCTTTTCCATTTATGGTATAGTTTGCGTTCTAAGAAAGTCTCTATGTATACATACAAACATTCAGTTTCACGTCTCACAAAGGTTTCTTGCGTATATTTGTAGAAATTAAGCATTTAAAAGGAGGTTAGAGGTTGACATTAGATTAAAAGTGGGGCATAAACGCACTTATTTCCTTGTAATTATATCAGTTCTATCTAGCAAACGTTAAAATTATATATTATCAGATAAAAATGTGTAGCATATATTGCTTAAAGGTAATGTTGTCGGTCAGGTGGCAGGTGCAGTTTCTGTTGGTGGGCGTAGTTTATTGCTCTCATTCTGGAAATTCATTTTGGTTAATTTATTTCCTGATAAAAAGAGCTGTTGAGCACAAAATAGTTATAATATACGAAACTGGAAATAATTGAGGATTCAAAAGCTGAGGAAAGCCGGTTGTACTTGACAAAGAAGGTAAATACATAAAACAGACGAATTTGGAGCCAACTATTATTTTCACTTTCGTTGCTTTCCTTTTGAGACACTCAGCGACTTTTGTACGCGTAAGACTCAGGGAGATATAGTTACAACATTTGTATATAGTTAGCAACTAGTTATGCATTAGTTCGAAAAGTAAGTAGTTAAATTTTTATGAATTTTTGCGCGGTAGTTTTCATAAATTTGAAAAAAGAGAGTGAGAAATACATACAAAATTTATAGTTAAGATGGCTGAAAATCTGAAATCCTTCACGGAATAGTTAAAAACGATAATATGTTTTACAATATTCTTAACAAAAAATTTTAAAATATTTCTTTCTTCTTTAATATGCCAAACGAATATTATTAAATATACATTTTTACATATATGTATTTCGACATTCTGATTGAATTGTGAAGCCCCTCAACCTTTTTTAGGTTATTCACTGCTCGACTGCCGCAGAATAATATTTACACGCTTGAAATGCTAATCTGTACGTTGGAGTCTACTTGCTAGAAATTGATTTTAAAAGCAATGCCGCCGCAACCAATGCACCGTTATACAACCATCAGCGGCAGCACTCACTCTTTCGCGTTATCTATGCATCATTAATTATTCTGATAATATTTTGCATAATTTTCATAAAATACAGAATTCAACTGGAGTCTTTTCACAAAGCGCAAAGAGAATTACAAAAGAATTAATAGAAATGCCGTTGGGAAATGCTGAGATTCACAAAGCGAAAGAGGGCAGCAGCGCCGGTAAAAGCCTTTCCAACACTTTGCGCTCAGAGGCACACAACTATACATACATACATACACAATAGCAGAAAAACAAAGTATTACTTACATCAAAGTGTAGCAAATTGTGATGGGAGTTAGAAATTCGTGTAAAAAGTAAGACGATTTGCCTAGCAGTTACAGCCAGAGCAAGCGCCACGAACTCCAGGATACGTGTATTCGCAGCTTACACACCGGAGGGTGAGTGCGTTGCCACTGTTGCCTTTGGAGAGCTTTTCAATGCGAATTTACATAATTTAAATCAATGTATGCATGGAGATGTAAGGCGCTGCAAGGCACCCGAATGATATTCTTACGAAATTCATGTGAAATCAGGTGAAAATAAGATATTAAGTAGCTTCGATACGCCGTGTAATGGCAGCAGCGCGCGGTATGGCACCTTCTTATACTACATATATATGTATATATGTATGTATATGTAGATGAGTGTGTGTGTATGCATCTAAAAATGTGCGCAAACAAATTGGCAAGCGTTGCGAAGCAATTTGATAGCTAAAATTACTACCTAAGTATTGATGTATTTAACTATGTGCGTGTGTGCATAAAAATGTGTGTGTGTTTATTTATAAACTTAGCTGTACATGAAAATGGCATGTGCGTGCGCCTGTAAGTATGCTTACAAAATTTGAAGGGGATGAAGAAAACTCATCTTGCTACCTTAATATAAATTGGAAATATTTGAGCTGAGAAACAGGCAAAAAATAAAAACAAAACAAAAAACATAGCAAAAAAAAAACAGTAAAGTAAAAGTGGATTTAAAAGTAATTTCCATGAGCGAAATAACATAAAATTTATTTTTTAGAAATTTATTTGCAGAAAATGATAAAAATATTTGCGCTTCTCCGTAATAATTTGTCAGTCAAATGAAGTGGAGTATAAACAAGCGCATAACTTAATTCCAGGAGAGACAAAAGGAAAGAAAGATTAAAAAAAAAAATCAAAAAAAAAGGTAGTGTAATGCCCTTAGCACACTGCTGATAAAATAAATGATGTGAAGAAAGCGAAAGCGGAGGCAATGGGCATACTGAGTAAAATATCAGCAGCGAGCAGTCAATAACAGCGTTGACAGATCGATCAGCATGTCGCCTAGTGACGACGACTGGCGACGCAATAAATATGTATGGGCTCCAGCGAAAAAAAGGACACCCACGGCGCTTACTGGCATGATCCTGGGAAAAGCACACACACACACATATATATATAGATACGCCGCATTTAAAGCAGCCGTAGTGGCAGCCGGCAATTCGGACGGCGGGGCAGCGCATTTTTTGTCACCATGTGCGCCCATTTTTCATTCGATAGCAATTTTCATTTTTATCGCCGCTGTCATTTGAGATGGAGAAAATGCGCACTGCACAAACAAATGAATGCAGCGCGTAAATAAACAAACGGCAAGTATGGCATGTTTACTATTAACAGCTGCATTGTTGTTAGATTTTTTTCTAAATTCATTTGTTTTTCATTTCATTTCAGTTTTTATTCTACTTTTGTTTTTTTTTT